AAGTTTGAGCTAATTCCAACTTCAATTTTTCAAGTTACGGTCATTTTTGTGTTTCCAATATCAAGACTTAATTAATACTAGGCCACACCCACTATCAATATTTTACACTACCAATCATAAACATTTGTCTACGACCTTGTGTTATGCAACGTGTATAAAAGAAATGTCAGTATGGACATGCACATGGGTAAAATCAATCTTAGGAATGACCTGTTCTTAATACATATAATTAGTATTCATGTATAATACATGTACATGTGACTGTACAGTATGTATAATTCAATGAAGAATACTCTTGCTACAATGTACTTACATTGACTCCAACTGCTGAGCGTACTGTCTACTTAGCATTGGAATACGAGATGGTCCAGTGCTGTGGCTAGCTCTAAGGCTTGATCCCAATGAAGTAGATCACACTGGATCTATACACAATCAATGTACATGTACATTAATTGCTATTAATCAATATTACTCACATCAAGTGCAACAGTTGGTTCAGAGGATTCAAGGAATAGCTCCTGTGCTCTAGAATGCTCATCTTTATACATAAAGATATATCCAGCAACAAGGTTTCTATCTTCAATGGACTAAGAGACAGATAAATGTGCACGTACAAAAGGACAACTCACAGATATTTCCTTGAGAGAATACACTAGTGATACATCCTTCATTTGCTGTGATGCAAGAATAGCTACAAATACAAATAAATAGTAACCAAGAGGAAGCAAGTGTGTTTGTTGAGATACATATGTACATGTATATTAATTATTAATCAGCAGGCATGGCGTATGTATATTACATGTACATATGTCACTAAAAATTGTGGCTGATAGCATCTACACATACATGTACATGTATGTGCAGAATGTACATCTAGATGTACTATACCGTATAGTGGAAATTTCGTTGATCCGTTCAAAAATCAATTTCGTGGCTTTAATTTTCATGTTTTTCTACTTTTCGGCCATCTTGAACCGTTTTACCAATTTCATGGATTTTATTTCCATGAATTCTGAAAAAAGCAAAATCCATGGAAAATTTAGGCCACAAAATTTTTTCGCTACACATTACAACAATTAACTGAAATGAACCAATTATACTAATACTAAATCCTATTGCTTTTTCAACTGGAATCAGCTCAAACTTCATACATAATATAAAAACATGTAAGTATCAAAAATTTAATAAAAATGAAATAACACTTATATATGTACATGAATAATGAATAAAAACATGACATGATAAAAAACATGTAGAAAACATGCAACTAGTAACAGTATTGTAACACTGTCCACAATCACACCTACATGTATTAGTCTGTTATACACATGAAACATGTATGAACAATTAAAATCATGTTACAGTATACAAGTGCCTTAATGGTATCAGTTTTACCCATTTCAATATCAAAATGAT